TTGTTATGATGGTGGTGAAATAAAAGGAAATAAAAAGAGAAAGAAGGAAGCAAACAGGGAGGGAAGAAAGGCAAAGGAAGAAAGGGGGAGGGAATGAAGGAAAGAGAGAAGGATGAAACCAAGTAGTGAAAGAAAGAAAGAAAGAGGTAGAGAAGGAAGAAAGGAAAAGGGAGAAGGAATAGGTAGGGACCTCTCTTTCATAATAGTCCAGATATCTACCTCAACTTTGATAAGTTTTACTATAGGCCACAGCAACGCGTGGCAGGGCACAGCTAGATTATATATAATATAATCTGTCCAGTGGTTTTGTAGTTATGTTAATCCCACAAACTAACATTGCATTGTTATTTATATAGATTGCATTATGTTTTATTAATGACAGCAGCAACATCACTCACTGGTAATACACAATGTCCCTGGGCCTCCTCATAATGTTCTCCAGCCTTCTGCAGGTCCACCAGTATCAAATATTCACTGAGCCACCATGCTTTTTCTCTTTGACTCCAACTCCCAGAAGCCTCAGCCACTCCGTCCAATGAATAGGAATTCTGGGAGATGAAGTCCAAAACACCTCGCAAGGCCACACACCGCCCCCAGGCCTCTGGAATGCAATGGCCAGGCTTCCCCGACTCCCATGGGGCTTGGCGGCGGCGTGGGCGGGGTGCGTGCGTGTGTTTGTGTGTGTGTGGGCGGCATAAGCGTGCCGGGCTTGGTTGCGTGTTTGTGGTGACGTGTTCTGGAGGAGCGGAGGCTCCGTGGGAGCGGAGCACGGCCGGAAGGGAGGGAGGGAATTGCAGAGGCTGCATTGGCCGTTCGGCCATGTGTGCGCGCGCGCTGGGGACTTTCTCTCCAGTGCGCATGCTCAGTTGTTCTGGCGATTTATCTGTGTGTTGTTGTGTTGTTTGTAATTCTGAGTGGATTAGTTTGTACCGAGTAGGTTGTCCTAGGGGCATGTCTATTTTGGTTCAGTTTCGTTGGGGGGTTGTGGAGTTTTGCTGTCCGGTTGAACTCTCCTAACAGATTTATATATATAGAAGTCAAAGTTTGTATGCGGCGGAAGTGTGGAAGTGCGACCAGGTATGTGCCAGCTTTCTGATTGGCTGCCACTGTGGTGCTATTTGCATATGGTGTCTGATTGGCCAGCTTCAATAGGAGCCCCTGGTGGAGAAAAGGGTTCATTACAGAAACGGAGACATGAGAGAGGGAAATTTGCATATGGTCTCTGATTGGCAAGCCTCAATTCCAAGATTCTGAGATGACAAAGAGAGGAAAGGAAAAGGCCGGGGGGGGGGGGGGGGGGGGCTGGGTCAGAAAATTACCAATACAGACCAAACTTGGCACACAGAGCCCCCATGACCCAGTCTACACCCTACTGCAGTTTGGAAGAGGATGGACCATGGATGATGGGACTTGCAGTCCCATCACTCACATTCTGAGACCGCTGTAAACCTCATCCAATGACTGATCAGGACCAAACTTGACCTCTCATGACCCACTTTACGTCCTGGTGTGGTTTGGCCGGGGATGGACCATGGATTATGGGACTTGCAGTACCTTTGCTCAATTCTTGAGACCACTGCAACCCTCATCCAATTACCGATAAAGACCAAACTTGGCACACTGAGTCTCCGTGACACACTCTACATCCTGGTGCAGTTTGGAGGAGGATGCACCATAGACGATGGGACTTGCAATACCTGCACTCCCCTCCTAAGACCATTACAACTGCCAACAATGATGGATCAGGACCACAATTTACACAGAGAGCCCACATGACCCACTCTATATCCTGGTGTGGTTTGGAAGAATTTGACAATGGATGATGGGACTTGCAGTCACTTCACTCACTTCCTGAGACCACTGAGACCCTCGCCAATGACTGATCAAGACCAAACTTGGCACACAGAGTCCCCATGACCCACTCTACATCCTGGTGCACTTTCGAGGAGGACAGACCATGGATGATGGGACTTCAAGTACCTCCACTCCCTTCCCAAGACGGCTGCAACCCTCATCTAATGTCCAATCAAGACCAAACTTGGCACACAGAGCCCCCATGAACCACTCTACATCCTGATGCTTTTTGGAGGAGGACAGACGATGGATGATGGAACTTCCAGTACCTTCACTCACTTCCTGAAACCACAGTGACACTTATCCAAATACCAAGAAAGACCAAACTTGGCACAGAGAGCCCCCTTGGCCAACACAACATTCTGGTGAGGTTTGGGGGAGAACAGACTATGGATGATGGGACTTTAAGTACCTTAACTCACTTTCTGAGAGCACTGTGACCCTCAGCCAATGACTGATCAAGACCAAACTTGACACACAGAGCTCCCATTACCCACTCTCCATCCTGGTGTAGTTTGAAGGAGGATGGACCATAGATGATGGGACTCGCAGTACCTTCACTAACTTCCTGAGACCACTGTGAGCCATATAAACAACTAATAAAGACCAACCTTGATACACAATTCCTTTCTCAAATAACCCGGGCAGCATCGGGTCCCCAAGCTAGTATATAATAAAAGAGAGTGTTTGTATGCGGCGGAAGTGTGGCGGTGTGCCGGTGTATGTGCCAGCTTTCTGATTGGCTGCCACTGTGGTGCTATTTGCATATGGTCTCTGATTGGCCAGCTAGAAAGTTCCAAGATTCTGATTGGCCACCCTGAACATTCCGAGGCAGCAAAGCGAATAGGAAAGGGGCCTGAAGCTGTCAGGAATAGTTGGAGTTGAAGTCCAAAACACCTTGTGGTCCCCAACAATGACAGAACACACCTGGCATATAGACACCGCCCCCCCCTGCAAGACCAATTCAACATCCTGGTGCTGTTTGAGCAGGGATGGACCATGGATGACGGGACTTGCAGTACTTGAACTCACTGCCTTAGAGCACTGTGGCCCACACCACTGACGGATCAGGACCAAACTTTGCACACAGAGGCCCAATGGCCCACTTTGAAATCTGGTGCTGTTCAGGGCAGGATGGGCCACGAATGATGGGATTTGCAGTACCTTCACCCGATTCACTTCCCACAGAACATTGTAGCCCCTACAAATCACAGACCAGGCCCAAACTTGGCACACAGAGTACTCATGGCCCACTCTACATCCTGATGCAGTTCTAAGGGGGATGGACCATGGATGATGGGACTTGCAGTATCTTTACTCACTTACTGAAACCACTGCAACCCTCAACCAATGACCAATCAAGACCAAATTGGCACACAGAGCTCCCATGACCCTATCTACATCTTGTTTCAGTTTGGAGGAGGGTGGATCATGGATGATGGGACTTGCAGTACCTTCACTCACTTTCTGAAACTACTGCGACCCTAATCCAATGACTGATCAAGACCAAACTTGGCACACAGAGCTCCCATGACCCTATCTACATGCTGTTTCAGTTTGGAGGAGGGTGGATCATGGGTGATGGGACTTGCAGTACCTTCACTCACTTACTGAAACCACTGCGACCCTCAACCAATAACCAATCAAGACCACATTGGCACACAGAGCCCCCATGACCCACACTACATCCTGCTGCAGTTTTGGAGGAGGGTTGATCATGGATGATGGGACTAAAGTGATATCCAAGAAAAGCAACAGATGATGTAAAGACAAAATATATTTAAGAACTGAAGCATTAAACTCAAACCCAGAGCGATGCGACTAACATAATAGCAACTCCATCTGATTATATGAAACCTATCTGTATATATTATTATATGTATTGAAAATCTTATATGGAGTTGGTTTAACCTCGGTTTTGCTACTTAAACTGAATTACAGTGTCACAAAAGGATGTGTGTCTAAAATGTGACACCAACATGAAAAGTTTGGAAAGCTCTGTCGTAGGATCTCCCTGGGATCAATGACCACAGTTCCTTCCAATGGGAATTCTATGTCTCTGTAGACGTCAACTCTCAGGGACGCTCTTTCCACACGCCATCTCTCAGGGATACGTTGATTGTGCTTTTCCTGCATGGCAGGGGAATTCCCATTATCCCACTTTTTCTCTTCATTCAGACACTCAAAGCGGCTCACAAATTAACAGCGTCGCAATACAACTTAAAATATACAAATACTAGCTATCCCCTGCCACGCGTTGCTGTGGCTCAGTCTGGTAATGGTTTCTAATCTATGTAATTCCTTTATCCTTGTTAGTAAACAGTATTCCTTGTTGTTTCTTTGTCAGTGTTGATGTGGAGATTGTCTGGTTTGCCTACTCTGGAACATGCAACAAAGAATCGTCCTTCTTTAGGGGTCCCTTTCAGATCTATGATCTGTGTGTGTGTGTGAATCATATATATCTGTATCTATGGCTGGATGGCTCTTTGTCAGGAGGGCTTTGATTACGTTTTCTTGCCCTGGTGAAGAGAGTTGGACTGGATGGCCTTAAGTGTTTTCTGTTGCTCACGGGGGTTCTGTGGGGGAAGTTTGCCCCGATTCTGTCGTTCGTGGGGTTCAGAATGCTCTTTGATTGTAGGTGAACTGTGAATCCCAGTGACTACAACTCCCAAATGTCAAGGTCTATTTCCCCCATGTCCATCTGTGTTCATATTTGGGCATATTGAATGCCTGTGCCAAGTTTGGTCCAGATCTATCATTGCTTGAGTCCACAGTGCTCTCTGGATGTAGGTGAACTACAACTCCCAAACTCAAGGTCAATGCCCACCAAACCCTTCTAGTGTTGTCTGTTGGTCATGGGAGTCCTGTGTGCTAAGTTTGGTTCAATTTCCTTGCTGATGGCGTTCAGAATGCTCTTTGATTGTAGGTTAACTATAAATCCCAGCAACTACAACTCCCAAATGACAAAATCATAATTTTTTGAGTGATGGTCACTCCTTGTGTTGTGAGACGTTTCATTGCCAAATTTGGTGTGATTTGGTTCATTGGTTCTTTTGTTTTTAAGGAACTCGTTATGCACAGAGCATTTTTATATATATAGATTAAAACTGTATTGAACATCATTATTATTTTTTAATTGATCAAATCCATAAAAGCACATGAAGTTTATAAAATCAAAGCAGGATTGGATGTCCCATGTCATCTCTTCCAACTCTATTACTCTATGATTCTATGACTTTATGCTACGTCTATACATGGTTTCTCCCCAGGGTGAGTTCTTTGATGTTTATGTAGACTTGAATTATGAGCAAAGCTCTGTCCACATTCTAGGCATTTATAGGGTTTCTCCCCAGTGTGAATCCTTTGATGTCTACGTAGACTTGAACTCCGAGTGAAGCTCTGACCACATTCCAGGCATTTATAGGGTTTCTCCCCAGTGTGAATCCTTTGATGTCTATGTAGATTTGAACTTTCAGCAAACCTCTGTCATCTCTTCCAACTCTATGATGCTATGACTTTATGCTATGTCTATACATGGTTTCTTCCCAGGGTGAGTTATTTGATGTTTATGTAGATTTGTATTATGAGCAAAGCTCTGACCACATTCCAGGCATTTATAGGGTTTCTCCCCAGTGTGAATACTTTGATGTTTTCGTAGACTTGAACTCTGAGTGAAGCTCTGACCACATTCCAGGCATTTATAGGGTTTCTGCCCAGTGTGAATCCTTTGATGTCTATGTAGATTTGACCTTTCAGCAAAGCTCTGTCCACACTCCAGGCAGGAATAGGGTTTCTCCCCAGTGTGTGTCTTTTCATGTGAATGTAGACCTAAAATCTGAGCAAAGCTTCGACCACATTCCTGGCATTTATAGGGTTTCTCTCCAGTGTGAATGCTTTGATGTGAATGTAGACTTGAACTCTGAGTGAAACTCTGACCACATTCCAGGCATTTATAAGGTTTTTCTCCAGTGTGAGTCTTTTGATGTGTACATAGATGGCCACTCACAGTGAAGCTCTGTCCACATTCCAGGCATTTATAGGGTTTCTCCCCAGTGTGAATACTTTGATGTGTCTGCAGACCTCCACTCTGAGTGAAGCTCTGACCACATTCCAGGCATTTATAGGGTTTCTCCCCAGTGTGAATCCTTTGATGTCTACATAGACTTGAACTCTGAGTGAAGCTCTGACCACATTCCAGGCATGTATAGGGTTTCTCCCCAGTGTGAGTCCTTTGATGCTTACATAGACTCGAATTACGAGTGAAAGTCTGCCCACACTCCAAGCATGTATAGGGTTTCTCCCCAGTGTGAATCCTTTCATGTGAATGTAGATATGAATAACGAGCAAAGCTCTGTCCACACTCCAGGCATGTATAGGGTTTCTCCCCAGTGTGAATCCTTTGATGCCTACGTAGACTTGAACTATCAGCAAAGCTCTGTCCACACTCCAGGCACTTATAGGGTTTCTCCCCAGTGTGAGTCCTTTGATGCCTATGTAGACTTGAACCATCAGTAAAGCTCTGTCCACACTCCAGGCACGTATAGGGTTTCTCCCCAGTGTGAGTCCTTTGATGCTTACGTAGACCTGAACTATCAGCAAAGCTCTGTCCACACTCCAGGCACGTATAGGGTTTCTCCCCAGTGTGAGTCCTTTGATGCCTACGTCGACCTGAACGATCAGCAAAGCTCTGTCCACACTCCAGGCACGTATAGGGTTTCTCCCCAGTGTGAGTCTTTTGATGCCTATGTAGACTTGAACCATCAGTAAAGCTCTGCTCACACTCCAGGCACGTATAGGGTTTCTCCCCAGTGTGAGTCCTTTGATGTGAACGTAGATTTGAACTCTGAATAAAGCTCTGTCCACATTCCAGGCACGTATAGGGTTTCTCCCCAGTGTGAGTCTTTACATGTTGCTGCAGATGATCCCTCCGAGTGAAGCTCTTTCCACACTCCAGGCATTTAGACGCTTTCTCCTCCATGTCAAGGATGATATGGCTGTTTAGTTGCAATACAGAGACTCGACTCTTCTTTATTCCTTTGTTATCTGTAAGTGAAGTCAAAAAATCAGCAAGATCATCTCCTTGAGAGGATTTCTTCTCCCTGTATTATTGGTTTCCTTACTTCATCCAAGATGTCGCTCCAAAGAGTCCTCACTTCCCTGGTGAAGAAAGAAGAGAAAGATCAAGGGAGAAAGCCAGAGACTTCCTCTACCTCCAAGATTTCCCCCCTTCCCCTTCATGGGTCATGTTGAAAATGGAAATACCAAGAAAGGCAGACACTGGGGCCTCAAGCACATATGCAGAGACCAGACATGGGAATCCATGACTCTTTTAAAAAGAAGGGAATGAATTCAGAAGAAGAGAGGGATGGAGGAAGAAAACAAAGAACGAGAGAAGGAAAAATGGGAAAGTCCTAATTCTGTAAAATATATTTATTAAAGCTTTTCAGATACAATAAAAAGAGGGGGAACATAACTAGAGTATAGGAAAGTAGGAAAATGTGATAGTAGGGAATAAAGAGGTGGATAATGTTGAGGTAGGGTAGAAAGAAAAAATGAGGAAAAAACCCCCCCAAAAACAAAACAAAAACAACAAAAGGGGAAAAATCGCACCCACAGTGCTCCAGGCGGGACTTCCCACAGTCTTTGGAGGCTGTTAAAAGTTTTCGTTGTGCTAGGTCCCTGATGACGAAGCTATGACATGTGTGTCAGCACTGACACGCATAGCCATTTTCAATGACACGCGGCAGCATGGAGCCGCATACAGAGAAGTATGGGGCTGCATGCCAGGTGCAGTAGCCGAGGATGAAACATTTGCTGTAATGTATTGTATTGGTCTGTAGGCCAATACAACAGAACTCCGGCACAGAGCATCTAGTTCTGGGACTTCCAGTTAGGCTGTTAGAGAATCTTTGACCTCACTTCTGGCTGGTGGAGCAGGGAGCAGCGCAATGCCACGGGGGATGCATCTCTGGGGGCCCTGTGATCGCCATTACCAGCAACCACATAACCACAGCAACCATCATCCAATCTACTGTTCTGGGGTGTTGTGGATTTCTAATTGACCATCATTACTGAGATAAGTGAGGGGGAAGCTGGAAGAGGCAAGGGCCTGTGCTATGGGTGCCATTTCCCACCACTAGAAATAGCGGCAGCCATCTTAATTTACATAAACAACACCATCTTGCGGCATAGTACTGTTGGGGTTCAGCCTGCTGATCCTGATTTGTGGGAACAGGATTCTCTGATAGTATTTCCAACTGAGAAAGCTCTCCCTGATTCTGACAGTTTGGAATCTGTGGTTGATGCAGAGGTCAGTGGGAATGAAAACGAAACCCAACAGCTAGCAGAGGATGTTTTGGAAGTTAGTCGCGATATCGCTCCACCCAGGCTTGATAATGAGGACCGAAGAGAGCAGATAATGAGAGAGAGATCTGCTTCCCAGTGTGTAAGAAGGTCACAGCGTTTACAACAGAAGGCCCAGACAGAAAAGTCTAGGGGCGTTTCCAAGAATAGTTTCTTTAGTTTAAGTGAGGGCTCCTTCCGGGTGCTTTCTTAGGTCAAGCAACGTTTGGGACTGTGGCTGGTCTTGGCAGAAGTTCCTGGGTTCCAGGGCCAGTATCCCAGAGGCTTCTAGTTTTCCAAGTTCATGGTTAGTAAGGCTAACAGACTCCTGGTTATTGTTTTGTGGTTTTTTGAAGTTTTGTTCAAGTTCAGAGATCCTTTTGCCTACTGTGTTTTTTCTGTGGCTTTTTTGACTTTGCTTTTACCTTTCTTTTGTAACCAATCTTTCATCAATAAACAAGGATTGCTTTTCCTACAGTCCAGAGTGGTGGATTTAATCTTATGGTCTTGTTTCTTGAACTGGGATGCAACAAGTACAGACTCCATTTCACCACTATTACTGTTGTGCATCCTTATGAACCCCTATGTTGCAGCAGCTTTCTTGGGCTCTGCTGCAAGAGGGATCCTGCAAGGAGCCTGAGTATTGCCATCCAGCTTTGTTGCCTGCTCAGCCCTGGGCTTACCCACGAGGAGACCTGCAGCCACACCCTCATTCCAGCCAGCTGACCCAGCAGGGACAGAACATGGTCCCTGCAACCTCGCCGCACTGCTACTTTAATGGCTGTGCCACCCATTGCCTGGCTGCCCAAATACCTGCGCCGGGTGCCTTCATATCCACGCTGCCCATCATTTGGACATTGGAACACCTGTGCAGGTGGTCGTTTTTGGGGTTTCCCTGCCTCTCCTGTTACTTCAGACCATTTTTTCCATCAGTCCACTTTGGCTGGGATTCAGTATTTACTTTTAAGCTCTTTTTTGTATTTCTATTTGCATTATTGTATGTTTACTTTTAAGCTTTTTGTTGTATTTCTATTTGAATTACTTCTAAGCTTGTTATTGTACTTATATTCGAATTATTAAAAAAGGATGACACAAACAACTACCGTCTGGTCAGCCTCACGTCGATACCGGGCAAGATTCTGGAAAAGATTGTTAAGGAAGCGGTCTGCAAACGCTTAGAAACAAATGCGGTCATCGCTAACAGTCAACATGGATTTATCAAAAACAAGTCATGCCAGACTCATCTGATCTCTTTCTTCGATAGAGTTACAAGCTGGGTAGATGCGGGGAATGCCGTGGATGTAGCGTACCTGGATTTCAGTAAGGCCTTCTTGGACAAGGTCCCCCATGACCTTCTGGCAAGGAAACTAGTCCAATGTGGGCTAGGCAAAACTACGGTGAGGTGGATCTGTAATTGGTTAAGTGGACGAACACAGAGAGTGCTCACTAATGCTTCCTCTTCATCTTGGAAAGAAGTGACAAGTGGAGTGCCGCAGGGTTCCGTCCTGGGCGCGGTCCTGTTCAACATCTTTATTAATGACTTAGATGAAGGGCTAGAAGGCAGGATCATCAAGTTTGCAGACGACACCAAATTGGGAGGGATAGCCATACTCCAGAGGACAGGAGCAGGATTCAAAACGATCTTGACAGATTAGAGAGATGATGGGCCAAAACTAACAAAATGAAGTTCAACAGGGACAAATGCAAGATACTCCACTTTGGCAGAAAAAACGAAATGCAAAGAGACAGAATGGGGGACGATGAGGCCTGGCTCGAGAGCAGTACGTGTGAAAAAGATCTTGGAGTCCTCGTGGACAGGAAGTTAAACATGAGCCAGGAATGTGATGTGGTGGCAAAAAAAGCCAATGGGATTTTGGCCTGCATCAATAGGAGCATAGTGTCTAGATCTAGGGAAGTAATGCTACCCCTCTATTCCGCTTTGGTTAGACCACACCTGGAATATTGTGTCCAATTCTGGGCACCACAATTCAAGAGAGATATTGACAAGCTGGAATGTGTCCAGAGGAGGGCGACTCAAATGATCAAGGGTCTGGAGAACAAGCCCTATGAGGAGCGGCTTAAGGAGCTGGGCATGTTTAGCCTGAAGAAGAGAAGGCTGAGAGGAGATATGATAGCCATGTATAAATATGTGAGAGGAAGCCACAGGGAGGAGGGAGCAAGCTTGTTTTCTGCTTCCTTAGAGACTAGAACAAGGCTTCAAACTACAAGAAAGGAGATTCCATCTGAAATTCAGGAAGAACTTCTTGACAGTGGGAGCCGTTCAGCAGTGGAACTCTCTGCCCCGGAGTGTGGTGGAGGCTCCTTCTTTTGATGCTTTTAAACAGAGGCTGGATGGCCATCTGTCGTGGGTGCTTTGAATGCGGTTTTCCTGCTTCTTGGCAGGGGGTTGGACTGGATGGCCCATGAGGTCTCTTCCAACTCTTATTCTTTGATTCTATGATTCTTTGATTCTATGTTTTGTAAGGATATTGTGGCCTAAATCCTTAGCCCATCTTATTTGACAGTTTTTCATTTGTTCCTCTTCAGTGGACCAGCTTAACAATTGCTGATATAGACATTTAATAAGTTTTTTATCCTTTTGTAATATTATTTCCCATACTCCCTGCTTTCGGTTGAAATCCTAATTCTGGAGCATCATATTGATTTTATTAGGATGAAGAGAAATGTGGAAAAGGAAAGGAAGGCAGGCAGGCCGGGAGAAAGGAACGGGCCTTTGCAGGACTCAAGGGCACCATTCGCTGGATCATGTGTTTCCATGAATGATCAGGAATAGGCTAAATGCTAAGAAGGGACACCAAGATGGCTGTGCTGCCTCCCTTCCCATCAGGAGTCCCAGGTCTGCTTTCTGACCATCAGAGGCGGCCCTAGGTAATTTTCAATGGTAAGCAAACAGTATTTTGGTGCCCCCCCCCCCCCAACCATATATATATAGGGGCATGTGTGTGTGTGTATGGTCATGGACAAATTTTGGCCCTCCAGGTATTTGCCTACTGGTTGTTTGGAATTGTAGAGTTGCATTGGCCCTCCTTCTCCACACATTTCCTAACACCGGGAGAGGGACATGCAGCGACGTTGCCAGGCACGCGGGAAAAGAGGCATGCAAAGTAAAGACTTTCTGTATATATTTCAGATTTCAATATTAATGTCAAAAATACGTAGTATGATTTTACATAGGAATTGTGATACATTCGAACAGTCAAGACAAATATCACTTAAAAAAATAAACAATAAATATTAAATAACCGGAAAAATAAAATAAGGTGTAAACACTAAACGAATCTGGGAATCTGCTATTGCAACACATCCAATGAAGTGGTTTAAAACCAGTATAAAAAAAGATTAGGACTAAGTACGTTCCAGTCTACTCTTTATCCGCGTGCCCAGCAACGCCGCTGCGCGTCCCTCTCCCGGCGTTCGGAAATGCGCGCCCTGCATCGCCCCTCCTTCTGCGCGCACTTCCTAACACCGGGAGAAGGACGCACGCTGGCGTTTCTGTCTCCCTTGGCCTGCAGGACTTGCCACGCGTGCCTCCCATTGAGGTGAGCCCTGCTGGCCCCGCCCCCTTTCGCCCTGTGAGCCCTGTGAGCCTTTCGCCCTTTTGCCCTGTGAGCCTTTCGCCCTATGAGCTCTTGAGGTGCCCCTGCCTCCTCAAGAGCGCCCCTCCGAGACATGTGCTATACACAAAAGCGTAATTTGCATACTGGGTTGAGCCGCCTCTGTTGACCATCCCAAATTAGATGGGGTGTTGTAGGTTTTTCGGGTTGTATGGCCATGTTCTAGAAGCATTTTCTTCTGACGTTTCGCCTGCATCTGTGGCAGGCTTCCTCAGAGGTTGTGAGGTTTGATAAATCAAGGTGGCCAATTGAAACATTCACACCTGGCTCCAACATACAAGAGTTCTTTCTCCCACCCTGGACCTTCCACAGATATATAAACCCAATTTTCCAGTTTCCAACAAACCTCACAACCTCTGAGGATGCCTGCCAGAGATGCAGGCAAAACGTCAGGAGAGAATGCTTCTAGAACATGGCCATACAACCCAAAAAACCTACAACAACCCAGTTACTCCAGCCATGAAAGCCTTCGACAATACACCAAATTAGATGCCTGCTGCCACCAAATTTTCCGTCTTTTCCTAAAAGAATCCTGCAGCTAACCAAGACCCTGCCTCTCCACCACCTAATCCAAACTCACATTGAGGCTTGGTTGAGACGTTCACATAATGAGTCTCTGCTGAAGGAAGTCTCCTTTGGGCCATTCATCCCTTGGCTCAGCCCCAGGATGGCATACAAAGACAAGCACAGCTCCACCCACAATGCCTTTTTCCTGACAACATCTTTGCCCTCTTCCCCCTTTTCTTCCTTGTCCTCTGTCCAGGGGAAGGTTTTCAGCAGCGGAAGGAGAGCTCGAGAAACACAGGCTTTCCATTCAGGGTCCTTTGCCCAGCAGTCTTTGCAGTGACCAATGCAATAAATCCCAACCTGGGAAGAAAGGGCATCTACTCTGAGGAATCCTCTCATAGAAGCAACCTCAACAATGCCTAAATAAGCATATGCAAAACAGCCTGGAAAGGGGAAAGTCCTGGGAAGTGGGATTTATGTAAGAGAACAGTTTTTGATGAACGGATGGATGGGAGTTTCTCAAGAGTGAAATACTCAAGGCACAATTGCAAACTGTGCCAACAAAGGGAAAAAATAGGACAAGGGCAAAGAAGCCAGAATAGATGTCCAAAGAACTTCTAACTGTGCTAAGAAAAAAAAGAGACATGCACAAGAAGTGGAAAAAGGGAGAAATCACCAAAGAAGAATTCAAACAAATAGCCAACACCTGTAGGGAAAAGGTCCGCAAGGCTAAAGCACAAAATGAGCTCAGACTTGCCAGGGACATCAAAAACAATAAAAAGGGCTTCTTTTCTTATGTCAGTAGAAAAAGGAAAAACAAGGAGGCGATAGGGCCTTTTCAAGGAGAAGATGGGGCAATGCTGACAGGGGATGATAGGGAAAAGGCAGAACTACTTAATGCCTTCTTTGCCTTGGTCTTCTCACAAAAAGTCATCTTCAACCTCAGCAAGATGGAGTGGATGAGGGATTAGAGGACATCCAACCCCAAATTGGGAAACAAGTCATCCAGGAATACCTGCCCGCTCTAAATGAGTTCAAGTCCCCGGGGCCAGATCAACTACACCCAAGAGTACTGAAGGAAACAGCGGAAGGAAGTCAACCATTGGCAATCATCTTTGAGAGTTCTTGGAGAACGGGAGAAGTTCCAGCAGATTGGAGGAGGGCCAATGTGGTCCCAATCTTCAAGAAGGGAAAAAAGGATGACCCAAACAATGACCAATGTCCGGTCAGCCTCACGTCGATACCAGGCAAGATTCTGGAAAAGATTGTTAAGGAAGCGGTCTGCAAACACTTAGAAACAAATGCAGTCATCACTAAGAGTCAACATGGATTTATCAAAAACAAATCATGCCAGACTCATCTGATCTCTTTCTTCGATAGAGTTACAAGGGTTGAAGGGCAGGGCTTGTAGCCCGAGGGGCGGGGCTTCCCCTGAGGGGGACATGAATTCCACTCAAGGGGCGGGGCTTGTAGCCCGAGGGGCGGGGCTTCCTCTCAGGGGAACATGAATTCCACTTAAGGGGCGGGGCTTGTAGCCCGAGGGGCGGGGCTTGTAGCCCGAGGGGCGGGGCTTCCCCTCAGGGGGACATGAATTCCACTCAAGGGGAGGGCCTTCCTCTCAAGGGGCGGGGCTTGTAGCCTGAGGGGCGGGGTTTTCCCCCCAGGTGGCATGAATACCACTCAGGGGATGGGGCTTCCTCTGAAAAGGCGGGGCCTTCACCTGCGGGGCGGGGCTTGTAGCCTGAGGGGCAGGGCTTCCCCACAGAGGGCATGAATACCACTCAAAGGGGCGGGGCTTCCTCTCAGGGTCATGAATACTAATCAGGGGGTGGAGTCTTCATCCGAAGGGCGGGGCTTCCCCTCAGGGGGCATGAATACCAATCAGGGGCGGGGCTTCCCCTAAAGGGGCGGGTCCTTCACCAGAAGGGCAGGGCTTGTACCCTGAGGGGCGGGGCTTCCCCACAGAGGGCATGAATACCACTCAAAGGGGCGGGGCTTCCTCTCAGGGGGCATGAATACTAATCAGGGGGTGGAGCCTTCATCCGAAGGGCGGGGCTTCCCCTCAGGGGGCATGAATACCACTCTAAGGGGCGGGGCTTCCCCTCAGGGGGCGGGGCCTCCCCTCAGGAGGACATGAAAACCACTCAAGGGGCGGGGCTTGTAGCCTAAGGGGCGGGGCTTCCCCTCAGAGCGACACGTATACCACTCAAGGGGCGGGGCTATCTCACGGTCGTTTCCAGGGCAACCGCCGCCCTACTCCCGGAGAAGGCCAGTCCTTCCTCTCAGTGACAACGCGGGACAGGAAGTGCGTCACCCCCTTTCCCTCGGCACTTCCGGCCGCCTACGGAAGTTCGGGGGTCTGGGGCTCTTCCGCCTGGGAGCCGGAAGTGCGGCCTCTCCTCATTCGAGGCGATGTCGCGCCCCCCGCTGGAGGCGCTGCGCGGGGGCCTGGAGGCGGCGCTGTCGGGGCTGAGAGGTGGGGGCCCTTCCTTCCGGGAGGGAGGGAGGGAGGGAGGGAGGGAGGGAGGGAGAGGGGGCGCTCTGCACGCGCTCAGGGGCACGCTTGTCTCGCAGGTGGAGAGGCCGGGCGCAGCGGCGACGGAAGCCGAGATGAGCCAGAAGAGCAGCAGCACCAAGAGGAAAAAGAGGCCGCCTTCGACCCCGGAGGCTTCTGGGAGGCCCTGGGTAGGAGCCTGGGGTGAGGTCTCTCTGGGGCGCCTCTCTATGGCCTTGGAGGACTTCTTGCTCTCTCACTCTCTCTGTCTCCCTCCTTCGTCCTCCAGGGGGCGCCTTCGAGGCAGCCAGCCGGGAAGCTTCCGCTCTGAGCCTCGCCTTCGCTCGCCCACCTCCGCCGCCGCGCCAGGTGGGTCCTTCCGGGAGTGGGAAGGGATTTCCCCCAAACGCCATCTAGGCCAACCCCCTTAATTCCACCATTCTGCAGGAAGAGCACCATCAGAGCCCTCTCAACAGATGGCCACCCTGTAGGGGCAACGAAACCAGAATATTTCCCAAAAGGCAGAAGCCCCCTTTCCAATGGGGAGGGCAAGGATGGACACCACGAAAGTTGAATCCTTTAAACTGCAAAAAACTATTTATTATTGCATGGCCATTGCAATAACGACAACCAAGCATACAGGGATGCAATCAAAGGGTTTGTCGCCACCCCCAAGGGGGCTGCAGAGCAATTATAGTAAATTATTTTTATTATTATTAACTTAATTTGTACCCCGCTAGCATCTCCCGAAGGACTCGATGCGGCTTACACAGGCCGAAGCCTCAAAACACAATACAATAGAAACATAACACAATAATAAACAAAGCAAATCAAAACAATTAAGCAAAATAACAACAATGACAATACATCAAGACACTATTAAAAACTGGTTTGGCCGGCGCGATGGGGTACAGGGTTAAAAGTGCTGAAATGGCAGGAGGAACGTAGGATTAAAAGTGCGGTGTGCAGTAACATTGGTTGTGCTAAAGTGCTTCTAGGACTTGGGATGGGGGATTCCTAATCTGAGAAGGCACATCGGAACAGCCAAGTTTTTAGGTTCCTTCTGAAAACTGCTAAAGTAGGGGCCTGTCGAAGATCTTTTGGAAGGGCATTCCAAAGTCGGGGGGCCACCACAGAGAAGGCCCTGTCCCGTGTCCCCACCAAGCGCGCTTGCGACGGTGGGATCACGAGCAGGGCCTCTCCTGATGAGCGTGTGGGTTCGTAGATGAGATGCGGTCACGCAGGTAGGTGGTCCCAAACCGTTCAGGGCTTTGTAGGTGAGGCACCTGCACCTTGAATTGGGCCGGGAAAATAAACTCAGCGGAGCTCCTTAAACAGAGGGGTAGACCTCTCTTGATAATGAGCCCCGGTTAGCATCCTGGCTGCTGCCCGCTGGACCAATTGAAGTCTACACCAGGCATAGAGGAATGCAATCAAAGGGTTTGTCGCAACCCCCAATGGGGCTGCAGAGCAATTATAGTAAATGGAATATACATTTTCATTGGTTCCCAAAGACAAATCATTTCATTGGTCTAAGCTAGCTATACAGTTGTTCATTAGTTGTTTATGATTTTGATTGACATTATAGCACACGTGGGATCCTAACAATGACACAACTATAACATAACTGTAGTCCATTGTTCTCTGACCATGACTGTATCTTATCTGTTAGTCTTGCAAACATGGCTTCAGAGCGACTAGGAAACTTGGGGATTCTAACTAGCCATCAGCTAACTGGTTTTGTCCGGATATACTGTTATCCTCGAATAGTAACTTCTTCTTTGGAGCGCTGATTTCTCAAACAATCCGCATTTTCTGTAAACATAGGCCTACTGCAGAAATAGGCCAATATGGCAGTAAATTGTGACATATGGGCATTGGGAAGATCTCTGAAAATTCCCTTTTTAAAACCACGTCTCCTCCAACCCAACCTCTGCTTAATAATAATAATAATAATAATAATAATAATAATAATAGAATTCTAATGTTGGAAGGGACCCCAAAAGGTCATCCAGTCCAGCCCTCTTTATTCTGTCAAGGAGGAATGACACAATAAAAGCCCTCCCGACAGATGGCCATTCAGCCTCTGTTTAATAATAATAATAATAATAATAGAATCCTAGAATTGGAAGGGAACCCCAAAGGCCATCCAGCTCAACCTCCTTTATTCCGCCAATATGCAGGAAAAGCACCATCAGAGCCCTCCCGACAGATGACCACCCAGCCTCTGCTCAATAATAATAATTCTAATAACAGTACAACTAATAATAGAATCCTAGAATTGAAAAGGACCCCCAAGAGTCATCTCCTTTATTCTGCCATGCAGGAAAAGCTCAATGAAAGCCCACCCAACACGTGACCATGCAGTTTTTGCTTAATAATAACAACAATAGAATCCTAGAATTGAGAAGGACCCCCAAGGACCATCCAGTCCAGCGCCCTTTATTCCGCCATTATGCAGGAAGAGCACACTCAGAGTAGGCAAGCAGATAAAGAGGGCCATAGGTGCCTGTCTGTTTCCTTGATGGGAATGATAGGCTTGCGCAGGGTGAGTGCCGACACTTTGGGCGCCCTTCCAGCGCTGGGAGCCCTTCCCAGGCTGAGGGGCAAGCCCTGCCCAGCGCAGCTGCAAAGGCAGATAGAGGCCGAGGGGGAGGCCCCGCCAGGGACAAGGCTGCCCCAGGCAAGAGTTTCTTGTGGAGGCCCCAAAAGTGTTTATATATTATACGTTATATTATATAGTATATATAATGTGTGTGGCATGGGCAAACTTTTTGACCAACATAAACTTAACAGTAGAATCCTAGAGTTGGAAGAGACCTCCTGGGCCATCATCCAGTCCAACCCCATTCTGCCAAGAAGCAGGAATATTGCATTCAAATCACCCCTGACAGATGGCCAGCCAGCCTCTGCTTAAAAGCTTCCAAAAAAGGAGCCTCCACCACACTCTGGGGCAGAGAGTTCCACTGCTGAACGGCTCTCACAGTCAGAAAGTTCTTCCTAATGTTCAGATGGAATCTCCAGGGGCCATCCAGTCCAACCCCCTCTATTCTGCCATACAGGAAAAGCATGATCAAAGCACCCCCAACAGATGGTCATACAGCCTTTGCAATAATAATAATAGTAGTAGGAGCCACCCAGGGGCCGCCCAGTCCAATCCTCTTTGGCCATGCATGAAAAAGCGAAATCAAAGCACCCCCCAACAGATCTGAACAATGAAATTCAGAACAGCCGCAGATGACAACTGTGGATAGTGTGATCTTAATAGTGATTATAATGTTTATATGTTTTCATGTGCAATTTAACTTTAATTTAAGTGTATTCTAACTGTTTGTTGTCCAAAGGCATTGAACAGCTGCGATTTATAAAGCCGCCTTGAGTCCCCTTCTGGGTAGAGAAAGGCAGAATATAAAAAGAGTAATTAATTAATTAATTAATTAAACAGATGGCCACCCAGCCTTTGCAATGATAATAGTAGTAGGAGCCACCCAGGGGACATCCAGTCTAACCTCCTTCTGCCATACAGTCATAGCACCCCCAACAGATAGCCACCCAGCCTTTGCAAGAATAATAATAATAATAATAACAACAACAACAGCAAGCCCAATCCAACCCCTTTTATTCTGCCATGCAGGAAAAGCACAGTCAACGCACCCCCAACAGGTGACCAACCAGCCTTTGCAATAATAGTAATAATAATAATAATAATAATAATAATAATAATAATAATAGCAGACCCAGTCCAACCCCTTTTATTCTGCTATGCAGGAAAAGCACAGTCAAAGCACCCCCAACAGGTGGCCACCCACCTTTGCAATAATAGTAGTAACAATAATAATAATAATAGTAGTAGTAATAATAATAGCAACCCCAGTCCAATCCCCTTTATTCTGCTGTACAGGAAATGCACAAAGTGCCCCCAAGAGATGGCCACCCAACCTTTGCAATAATAAATAATAATAATATTTATTTATTTATTTATTTATTTATTTATTTAATGCACTTGTAGACCGCCGTTCTCAGCCCTGCAGGGCGACTCATGGCAGTGTACAACATATAAAAACAGGTACAAATATCCACATAACAATATAACATAAACACTAATAATACAGTTACACTAAATCATTCGCGACGTCTCATCATTGAATCACAATCCAGTTCCCATTATCCATATTCCGTTCCGATCGTCAATAGCCAATTGTTGCAGCACTTACTCAAAGGCCCTCTCAAACAGCCACGTCTTTAGACTCTTACGGAATGTCAAAAGGGAGGGCGCCGATCTGATGTCCACAGGGAGGGTGCTCCACAGCCGGGGGGCCACCACCGAGAAGGCCCTGTCTCTCGTCCCCGCCAGGCGTGCCTGTGAGACAGGCAGGATCGAGAGAAAGGCCTCACCGGATGATCTCAAAGTCCTCGTGGGCTCATAGGCCGAGATGCGGTCAGACAGGTATTTTGGGCCGGAACCGTTTAGGGCTTTGTAGGCCAGCACCTTGAATTGGGCCCGGTAGCAAACCGGCAGCCAGTGGAGCTGGTACAACAAGGGCGTTGTGTAATAATAATAATAATAATAATAATAATAATAATAATAATAATAGCACGCCCATTCCTACCCCCTTTATTCTGCCGTGCAGGGAAAGCACAGTCAAAGCACTCCAACAGATGGCCACCCAACCTTTGCGATGATAATAATAATCATAATCATAATAATAGGAGCAACCCCAGGGGCCACCCAGTTCAACTCCTTTCTGCCATGCAGGAAAAGCACAATCAAAGCACCTCATGAGCAGTGGGAGGGAAATTGGGTTTTGGAAGCAAACAAGGCAAAGGGGAAAGGATCTGGGTCATGAGGAAGGGGAGGAAAAAGGCTTTTGGGGGGCGAGGGAGGTCAGGGAAGTGGGAGGAGCAGGAAGGAGGAGGGAAGGCTTGGAGGAGAAAGAGGAGGAGGAGGAAAGCGCGGAGCACCACAGTATGCTTTGCAGAGCCCAAAAATAAGCTTTGCCCCAAGGGCTCTGCGGAGCACACCTTGAGAACTGCTGAGGCAGAATATTGAAAGGCTGGCCCAGCATAGCGTTGAGTGATTACAGATGCATTGTCAGAGGAAGAGCAAGTTTGCGATCAATGTTGTACAATTAGGTCACCTTTGAATACTTTATGGAAAATTTGCATACATACATATACATGTATATCGCAGCTTGTTAAGAGCTTTGACAGGACAAAATATTGTATGACTCCTATTCCGGTGTAGGGTCCACCACCCCTTCACATGCCCAGGCCTTTCTCCTCCTGCTGTTACGTGACTTTGGGGAAGGGGCAGGAACGCCTTGCTGGTGCTCAGGGAGACCCTCTTCTCTGACCCCCCCTCCCAGCCTCCCTTGGCTTGCCACCAGAAGGAACCTGTTGGAGCTCAGCCTGCGGTTGTGTTTCAGGATCAGGTGCTTTGGATTTGGGAAATGATGTTAATGAGGTTCAAGATGAGTTTCAAGATGGCAATGGTTTGGTCAGTGATATTGATGCAGAGAATGACCAGGAGATCCCTGTTCAAAGTGTAGTTTCCCATGAGAATGACTCCGAGGGGTGTGGGGACGATGGTGTGCTCTCTGAATTCTTACCAGAGAGTTTCCATGATAGGGAACATGAAAACAGTGCGGCACCTGGCCCAGCTGCAGAAATTAATGAGCAAATAGATAGATGGGAGGAGATCAGTCAAAACATGAAAAGCCGAACAGTGGCTTTGGCGGTCTGCCAGGCTCCAAGAGAAAAAGATAAATTCTCAGCTAAAGCGAAACCAATTTCTGAGCATTAGAGACATAGCTAACGAGGAGATAAAAGTCCTAAGTACATGATATCTAGTCAGATGAAACATTGTTTGGAATTAAGTCAAGATCTCGTCCTTGTTTCACAGAAGCTTTGCTTGGAAAATTCATATTTTAAGTGCCTTTGTTTCATGGTTTTCATTCTTGGATTCTATGCTTTTATATTCATGCCTTGGATTCATGTTTCTTGAGTTCTTGCACTTTATTTGGAAAGTTTTGACTTTGTTTTTATGGAGTTTTCCTAGACTATTTTCCCTGCTTATCTTCCTACCTAATTTGATTTACCTATTTCCTTAAAGTGCTTTTTACTTTCCTGCTTTTTAATTATCTTCAATAAAAGGATTGTTTGTTTACTCAACGGTGTGGTGTTTAAAGTCAGAAGGCTTTTCCTGTCCTGGAGTGCAACAGACCCCCCCCCCCCCACTTTACCAGAGCCCTATTGGAGAGCTGCCTCTCTTCTGCCCCGTGGCCAGTGGTGTCCTTCCAGGGCTGTGCTGGCCTCCAACCCCTTGAGCCTCCCTCCTCCAGCCAGTAATAGAAAGAGTGTTGTGACTCAGCTGGAATCACAGACTGATAGTGTTGTGACTCAGATGGGGTCTCAGACTGACTCTGATGAGGATGAAAGGATTCAGGTTCACAATCAGGTTCAAAATGTTCCTGTTGTAAACAATGAGGAACAGGGTGTGCAAGTTCAGTTTCCCACAACAGGGAATTATGTTTTTGATACTGAAACTATCCAGGTGCAAATTGACTCAGAAAAGGAGGACAGTTCTCAGCCTGAGAGTAGGCAGGAAGACAACCAGGCTGACATTAACGAGCAGCCTGACCTTGATGAAACGGGAAGCTTAGATTGGGCTGACCGTTTGGAATTCAGAGTTCGAAGGAGTGTGAGAATAGCCAACAAGAAGGAGGTCAGCAGCCTGACCTTGATGAAATGGGAACCTTAGATCGGGCTGACCGTTTGGAATTCAGAGTTCGAAGGAGTGTGAGAATAGCCAACAAGAAGGAGGTCAGCAGCCTGACCTTGATGAAACGGGAATCTTAGATCGGGCTGACCGTTTGGAATTCAGAGTTCGAAGGAGTGTGAGAATAGCCAAGAAGAAGGAGGTCAGCAGCCTGACCTTGATGAAACGGGAATCTTAGATTGGGCTGACCGTTTGGAATTCAGAGTTCGAAGGAGTGTGAGAATAGCCAAGAAGAAGGAGGTCAGCAGCCTGACCTTGATGAAACGGGAATCTTAGATCGGGCTGACCGTTTGGAATTCAGAGTTCGAAGGAGTGTGAGAATAGCCAACAAGAAGGAGGTCAGCAGCCTGACCTTGATGAAATGGGAATCTTAGATTGGGCTGACCGTTTGGAATTCAGAGTTCGAAGGAGTGTGAGAATAGCCAACAAGAAGGAGGTCAGTAGCCTGACCTTGATGAAACGGGAATCTTAGATCGGGCTGACCGTTTGGAATTCAGAGTTCGAAGGAGTGTGAGAATAGCCAACAAGAAGGAGGTCAGAGGCCAAAGAAATGCTTTCATGTATTGCAAAGGGTATTAAGCAGTGTTTTTGAAAACAAACCTTTGTCAGAGCAACTTCTCACTCAACCAAGCAGCTTGTGCTCCTTTCCCTGTGTCCATGGTCTTGGGATTTTGTCACGTTCTCGTGGGACTTTGTTTCGTTGGTGCCATTTGGGAATTCTGCTTTACAGGGCTATGTTTTATTGATCTTTGGAACACTTCTTGCTTTTTAAACTTTTCATCTTTTACTTTTTAATAAACTTCAACGACTTCAGTCTGTGTGCAGTTCTGGTGATTCCAGCAAGGTGAATGCATTCTGAGGTGCTACAAAGAGGTTGATCTGGAGGTGAAGTAACCACCTGACTTGCTCCTCCTCTTCCTCCTCCTCCATAGGATCAGGAGCAGTTGACGAACAGGGCTCTCGGGGCAGTCCTGGCAGCGGCCTCCATCTATTACCGCCTCCCCAAGAGCCAAGGTGAGGAGGGGGCTCTGCGGGGAGGGAGGGAAGGAAGGGTAAGCTGCTCCTCCAGGAGGAGAGGGCTGACACTGGACCCCTTGACCGTCCAGGGACCACTTTGCGCAAAGCGGTGCGTGATGCCACGGTGGAGCTGGCGGAGGGCATGATCCAGCTCACGGAGGTCCTGCTCCGGAGGCCCGAGCAGAGGTGAGCCCCACTTCTCCTTGTCAACCTTTGCAAAAGCCAGACTGGGCTGGGGGGGACCCACTTTGGAGGTGCGCACCCACCTGGCCTCCCTTCCCTTCTTCGCAGCATCTCTCGGGAGCAGCTCATCTCCACCGGAAGTGTCTGGGAAGCCTGCGACCGGGCTTCTGCCCTCCCTCGAGGTATGAGGAAGACTTTGAAAGGGGTCGCCTTGTTGTGGGGATGCCTCGCTTTTGGCACGCAGATGCACATCTACCTTTTCGTTCCTCCTGTGCAGATAACCAGGCAGCGGTGGCTTTGGCCATTTCCTCTTGCCTTGGGATCGTGAAGGATGCCTTGGAGGAGATCGAGCAGGTAGGGGAGTGGGGAAAGGACCCTGTGTGAGAAGGAAGGATGGGGTTGTGTCTGTGTGGCTCACTGGAACTGCAAACACAGGCTACTAACAACAAATTTTTGACTGTGAGAGCTGTTCAGCAGTGGAACTCTCTGCCCCGGAGTGTGGTGGAGGCTCCTTCTTTGGAGGCTTTTAAACAGAGGCTGGATGGCCATCTGTCAGGGGTGTTTTGAATGCAATTTTCCTGCTTCTTGGCAGAATGGGGTTGGACTGGATGGCCCACGAGGTCTCTTCCAACACTAGGATTCTATACGTTTAACTTAAAAGGACAAGAATTCTTTAAAGCCATGATTTTAGCATGGTGGTTTTGGGCCTCCAGGTGATTTGGACTTCAACTCCCAGAAACCCCAGCCAGCTTAGGAACGGTGGGAGTTGAAGTCCAAAATGCCTGGAGGCCCAAAGGCTGGGGACCACTGTTTTAGCAAGACAGGCAATGTTAACATGGGGTTGGAAAGGTGGAAAACGGGAATAATCATGTATTGTTGAAGGCTTTCGTGGCCAGAATCACTGGGTTGTTGTAGGTTTTTTTGGGCTATATGGCCATGTTCTAGAGGCATTCTCTCCTGACGTTTCGCCTGCACGGAAATGCTGGACCACTCTCACAACCACCATGTCAGACGACACAGAAGCCATTGAAATCCACAAGAAGCATGTGGACAATTTCAACAGAAAGGAGGAAACCATGAAAATGAACAAAATCTGGCTACCAGTATTAAAAAAAAACTCTAAAATTACAACAGAGAGGAAACAAACAAGGACATCTAATCACCTCTCAACAAAAGTTTGCTCCAGGCACTGTCAGGCAATGAAATGCTAATCAAGGTGGTCAGTTGAAACATTCACCCCTAGCTCCAGCAGACAAGAGTCCTTTGTCCCACCCTGTTCCTTCCACAGATATATAAACCCTTTTTCCTAGTTCCAACAGACCTCACTACCTCTGAGGATGCTTGCCATAGATGCAGGCGAAACGTCAGGAGAGAATGCCTCTAGACCATGGCCACATAGCCCGAAAAAACCCACAACAACCCAGGGAATAATAATCTTTACGGTCAGGTTCAATCTGATTCAGCACGATACACAGGAGAATGAAATGAGAGAAATTAAAGATAAACAGATGATGGTTTATAGGGAATGGAGAAAAAAGTGAAAGATGTTACAGAAACTAAGAGAATCCTATTCATGGTTAAAGACATAGAGGGAATGTGTGGTCTGGGTGGTAGGGGGTGGGGGGGGGATTTACACAATTAATTTTAAAAATATGATTGGGGGGAAATCCACAGGCCACTTGACTTTGGATTGGGAGGGGGCACAAGTGTAATGCTTCCTGTTTGAGTCTTGCTCAGTTTCCGCAGAAAGTGGAGCTTTCTCCACAATTCGGAAATCATGGCACCAGCATGTTTCCTTTGCTCAAGGGCAAGACTGGCCTACAGGTCCCTGCCGGCCACCCTGCATGAATCCGGTCCCCTCTTGATCAGGGTTTGAGTCTCCTTGTGGGGAGAAAAAGAGTATAAATAAACATAAACATCATAATAATAATAATAATAATAATAATAATAATAATAAAAGAGAAGCAACTGAAAAGGCTGACACGATATGAAGATTTAACGATTGAACTGCAAAGACTGGCACAAGCCAGTCAAGGGGGTGGCAGTGGTGATCGGCACACTGGGTGCAGTGCCTCAAGACCTTGGCCTGCACTTAAACACAATTGGCACTGAGAAAATTAGCACCCGTCAGCTGCAATACACATCACACAGTCCTAGACACTTGGGAAGTGTCCGACGTGTGATCCAATACAACAGCCAGCAGAGTGATCTTGTTTGCTGTGGACTCACCTTGTTGTGCATATAATAATAATAATAATAATAATAATAATAATAATAATAATAATAATAATAAAAGAGAAGCAACTGAAAAGGCTGACACGATATGAAGATTTAACGATTGAACTGCAAAGACTGGCACAAGCCAGTCAAGGGGGTGGCAGTGGTGATCGGCACACTGGGTGCAGTGCCTCAAGACCTTGGCCTGCACTTAAACACAATTGGCACTGAGAAAATCACCATCACTGCAATACACACCACACAGTCCTAGACACTTGGGAAGTGTCCGACGTGTGATCCAATACAACAGCCCAGAGTGATCTTGCTGTGGACTCATCTTGTTTGTTTATAATAATAATAATAAATAAATAATAATAATAATAATAATAATAATAATAATAATAAGAATAAAAGAGAAGCAACTGAAAAGCTGACACGATATGAAGATTTAACGATTGAACTGCAAAGACTGGCACAAGCCAGTCAAGGGGGTGGCAGTGGTGATCGGCACACTGGGTGCAGTGCCTCAAGACCTTGGCCTGCACTTAAACACAATTGGCACTGAGAAAATTAGCACCCGTCAGCTGCAATACACATCACACAGTCCTAGACACTTGGGAAGTGTCCGACGTGTGATCCAATACAACAGCCAGCAGAGTGATCTTGTTTGCTGTGGACTCACCTTGTTGTGCATATAATAATAATAATAATAATAATAATAATAATAATAATAATAATAATAATAATAATAATAATACATCACACAGTTCTAGACACTTGGGAAGTGTCCAACGCGTGATCCAATTCAATAGGTAGCAGAGTGACCTTGTTTGCTGTGGACTCACCTTGTTGTGCATCTAATAATAATAATAATAATAATAATAATAATAATAATAATAATAATAATAATAATGTGGGAAGGAACAGAAGAAAGAAGGGAATGGGATTGACAGGGTCCGCTTGCCCTCCAGACTCTCTTCCTTCAATGCTCCTGGGGAAGGAAGCTCCTTGGGAAGGGGTCTCATGTGAGTCCATCCTCCGAATGCTCACTCACACTCACACTGCCCTTGTGCTTGTTTGTGGGCAGGCACAGCAGGAGGGGGCGGACCCCTACGGGGATGTCCTGGAGGATGAGGAGCTGGGCTCCCGGGGCAACCGGGACGTCTATTGGTCAGAGGCTGACCGGCGGCTGCTGGGCCCCTGCCTGGGGCTGGTGAAGGCCGCCAAGGCCTGCCTGAAGAAGGTCCTGGGGGCCGTCCGGGCACACGGCCAGGTGGACACGGCTGAGCGGGTGGCGCAACTGGACGACCTGGCCGACATGGCCGCTGACGTCAGCCCCAGGTGAGGAAGTGGGGGGGGGGGAGGATGGGTGTAGGGGAATGTTTCCATGGGGAAAGGAGGCTCCTGGCCACAAGAATGGGCCAAGGGGCTGGCAGTGGACACGGAGGAGGTTGCGAGCCTTGCCTGGATGACAAGGCTCGCAACCTGCCCGAAGGCAGAGGACTCACTCTGCCCTTGGAGGGGGAGGGGGCCACTTGGCACAGGGGGGGGGGGCTTTTCCTACCCCCTCCATGTCACTCCTCCTGAGCATGACCCCATTTGCCATTATTTGTTCTTCCTGCAGCGTGGACGAACTGGCTCTGAGCACCTACCCACCAGTGAACCAGCTGTCTGTGCGGCTCAACGTGAGTGCTTTTGGAAAGGGGTCCTGAGGGGGGAGGAGGTGGGACTGGGAGGGGGCGCTGCCAGGAGTGCTGCTCCCCCAGGTGCCAGGTGATAGCAGAGCCCCCAAGTGCAGAGAGGAACCCCCCCCCCCCATTATTTAGCACCGCCAGAGCAGGGAAAGGGCACCTGGGACAAGCTGCACCTGCAATGAGTGGGGAGGGGGTGCACAAAGACAGCCATGTGTCCACACAAGCACTGTCCCCGGTCCTGTTTATTATTATTATTATTATTATTAATAATAATAATAATAATAATAATAATAATAATAATAATTTATTATTATTTATCATTATTCATGACTGAGATGAAGGATGAGAAGGCAGGATCATCACGTTTGTAGACGGGACCAAATTGGTAGGGAGAGCTAATACTGCAGAAGACAGGAGCAGGATTCAATGGGATCTGAACAGATTAGAGAGATGATGGGCCAAAACTCATAAAGTGAACTTCAACTGGGACTCCACTTAGGCCCAAAAAGGAAAGGCAAAGATACAGAATGGGGGACGAAGATGCCTGGCCCCACAGCAGGACGTGTGAAAAAGATCTTGGAGTCCTCGTGGGGAACAAGTTAAACATGAGCTCAACAATGTGATGTGGCGGCAAAAAAAGCCAATGGGATTTTGGCCTGCATCAAGAGGAGCCTAGTGTCTAGGTCCAGGGAAGTCATGCTCCCCATGCTCTATTCTGCCTTGGTTAGACCACACCTGGAATATTGTGTCCAATTCTGGGCACCACAATTGAAGAGAGATATTGACAAGCTGGAATGTGTCCAGAGGAGGGAGACTAAAATGATCAAGGGTCTGTAGTTTGAAGCCCTATGAGGAGCGGCTTAAGGAACTGGGCATGTTTAGCCTGAAGAAGAAAAGGCTGGGAGGAGACTTGATGAGGGCCATGTATAAATATGTGAGGAGAAGGGAGGGAGCAAGCTTGTTTTCTGCTTCCCTGGAGACTAGGACACAGTGGAGCCATGGCTTCAAAGTGGAGGAAAGGAGATCCCACCTGACTGTGAGAGCTGTTCAGCAATGGAACTCTCTGCCCCAGGGTGTGGTGGAGGCTCTTCTTTGGAGGCTTTTAAGCAGAGGCTGGATGGCCATCTGTCAGGGGTGCTTTGAATGCAATTTTCCTGCTTCTTGGCAGAATGGGGTTGGACTGGATGATTGCCCACCAGGTCTCTTCCAACTCTAGGATTCTAGCCCCCCCCCCCCCCATTACACGATGGGCAGAGAGAGCCTTGCCCGTTGAGATCTGAGATGATCAGAACCAAGACAGTGTTTCCCTTGGAACAAACAAGGGGAGTGGTATTGCTGACCCCCAGGAGTCCAACCGTCTTGTGGGGAAGAACTGGGGGAGTGGGGGGGGGCTCTCATTGGCCTTGTTGCCCAGAGGCCTTTTCTGGTGGGACCCCCCCCCCCGAGTGCCACGAAGTGCCCTGAGCGTCTGCTGACCTTTCCCCTCCCCTCCTCTTTAGGCGGCTAAACTGGCCTCAGTGCTGAAGAAGATGCTGGAAATTGCCAGGTGAGGGTGAGGAGGGGAAAGCCCTGGGGGAACCTAAAAATGAGTGGGTTGGGGTCTTTCCCATTGCCTGCCACAGGGTCTTTTTGGGGGGGGGGGTCTGCAGGGGTCCCTCCCCAAGGGCCAGTGACCTCTCACCCTACTGACCTTCAGGGAGTGGGGTCTTGTTGAGGGGCTGAGCCCTGGCTGTGGCTATCTGTCTGTCTGTCTCTCTCCCCCAAATACAGGTCCAGCCACGTCTGCCCCCCATCTGAAGAGAGCTGGGTGCTGTTCCTCTTGGGCGCAGTGGATCACAACCTGGACAGAATCAAGAGCTTGACCCAAAGTCTTGTTTGAGGAGGATGAGGAGGGGCCTCTTTTGGGTCTGGACTCTCAGAACTGGACTGCACCAAAGACCCCGCCCCCAGCTGGCCCACGCACACATCTATGGAAGGAGTAGAGGCTGATGACCCTTTGCCGGGGTGGGGGGGGGGTGGGGGGGGTTGGTTTTGTCCTGAATTGCCCTTCAAAAACAGCCTTTAGACAATGTTGAAAGTAAAAGAAAATTGCTTTACTTCAGCAAACACGAAGAATAAGCAAATGTAATTGAAAAGTGCAAAAGAGAGCAAGGAAGTCTTAATGCAGACACAAATTAAAGTCTCTTACAAAGTCCCAAAAGAAATACCAGTCTTCCATCAGACAACGGGCAATGAATTAAGTCCCTACCAGCAGACACAAAGCAGATTCTGTTGGAGTGAAAACATCAGTATCACGGTCGTTGTTACCAGCAAAAGCCTCTGATTTATAGCCCTGAATTTCCCATGCAGGAGGTGCTAGGATGTCTCCCAATTAGCTCAGCGTTTTTAGCCTCTGATTTATAGCCCTGAATTCCCCATGCAGAAGGTGCTAGGGTGTCTCCCAATTAGCTCCGCGTTTTTAGCCTCTGATTTCTAGCCCTGAATTCCCCATGCAGGAGGTGCTAGGGTGTCTCCCAATTAGCTCCATGTTTTTAACCTGATTTATAGCCCTGAATTCCCCATGCAGGAGGTGCTAGGGTGTCTCCCAATTAGCTCAGCGTTTTTAGCCTCTGATTTATAGCCCTGAATTCCCCATGCAGGAGGTCTTAGGGTGTCTCCCAATTAGCTCAGCGTTCTTAGCCTCTGATTTATAGCCCTGAATTCCCCATGCAGGAGGTGCTAGGGTGTCTCCCAATTAGCTCAGCGTTTTTAGCCTCTGATTTATAGCCCTGAATTCCCCATGCAGGAGGTCTTAGGGTGTCTCCCAATTAGCTCAGCGTTCTTAGCCTCTGATTTATAGCCCTGAATTCCCCATGCAGGAGGTGCTAGGGTGTCTCCCAATTAGCTCAGCGTTTTTAGCCTCTGATTTATAGCCCTGAATTCCCCATGCAGGAGGTGCTAGGGTGTCTCCCAATTAGCTCAGCGTTTTTAGCCTCTGATTTATAGCCCTGAATTCCCCATGCAGGAGGTGCTAGGGTGTCTCCCAATTAGCTCAGCGTTTTTAGCCTCTGATTTATAGCCCTGAATTCCCCATGCAGGAGGTGCTAGGGCGTCTCCCAATTAGCTCAGCATTTTTAGCAGCTATTCTGTGCTCTGCCTCTTTTCGTCCCTTTCAAAATGTGGGCACTTTCAAACCCTGATTGTCTGATCCTTCTTCTCCAATTCCTGAGCACTTCCCTGCTTCTCTTCCAAAGATGGGGAATCCCCAACAGGTTTTGTATTGGGGGAGCACCAAGAGCAAGACTCCCCTGGGGCTTGATCCTGCGCAGGAGGAACAACCCCATCGCCTTGATTGGGAACAGCATCTATTATACATCTATATCTCTGGGTGTTTTTCTACTTTTGGAAATTTATAATTGGGGTGGGGGGTGCTGCATCAGGTTGCTTCAGATGTGCATCTTTAAGGCCATAAATTGGGGAGGGGGCACAGCATCCCTCCCAGTTTTAATGCCTGCTGGTGGTACAGATGGTGCTGGAGGGATCTCTGCTGTCTATCCATCCATCCATTGCCCCCATGATAATGGTAATAATAATAATAACAAAACAATAACAATAATAAAACTTTATTTATATACCGCTCTATCTCCCCGAGGGGACTCAGAGCAGTTTCCAAATAACATCATCAATGCATACAGAGTAAACAACATAACCATAAGGTTAACAAAACAATATAAGCATAAAATTGTCGCCATCTATATAAATAAAAATTTAATGTTCGTTTGTGGGATTAACACAACTCAAAAACCACTGGACAAATTGACACCAAATTTGGACACAAGACACCTAACAACCCAATGTATGTCCTTCACTAAAAAAAATTGACTTTTTGCATTTGGGAGTTGTAGTTGCTGGGATTTATAGTTCACCTACAATCAAAGAGCGTTCTGAACCCCACCAACGATAAAATTGGGCCAAACATCCCACACTGAACCCCCATGACCAACAGAAAATACTGGAAGGGTTTGGTGGGCAGTGTCCTTTGGTTTTGGAGTTGTAGTTCACCTACATCCAGAGGTCATTGTGGACTCAAACAATGATGGATCTGGATCAAACTCTACACGAATACTCAATATGCTCAAATGTGAACACTGGTGGAGTTTGGGGAAAATAGAATCTTGACATTTGGGAGTTGTAGTTGCTGGGATTTATAGTTCATCTACAATCACAGAGCATTCTGAACCCTACCAACGATAGAATTGGGCCAAACCTCTCACACAGAACCCCCATGTGAGCCACAGCAACACGTGGCAGGGGACAGCTAGTAACACATATATTAAAAGCAATCCTGCGTGTTCAAGGCAATTAAAAGGCCGGGCCAAGGCTAGTGCAAACTCAAAATTTCTAGGAGGAATTAAGTGCAGTGCTATAGCAGGCAACAACAATATCAGGTATGGGTCTATGGCTGTTCATTTCCGGGGCCTATTTGAGGGAGTGACCTGGGTAATTGGTAGTAAGAATAGGGCCACATTCAACAATTTTTTGAGCTAGAACTAGTCATTCTCAAAAGCTTCTTGGAGCCAACAGGTCTTCAGGCTGTTACAAAAGGAGCGGAGGGATGCGGCCTGATTGTTGCAACTCAGAGTAAGCTTCACCTTGCTTCCAAACACCACCACACAAGAGCTGTAGTTTTACAGTTTATTGAGGGAAAAATCCAAGTCAAAATAAAGAATAAGCATTGCAAAGTCCCAGAGATTAAGGTTAAATGCAGAATACAGTTCCAAAGATCTTCAGGTAAAAGCAGGAGACATAATCCTATTGGCAAAGTTCAAACCAGAGTCCCAGGTACAAGCAATGAAACATTTGACCCAAGAATCACAATGCAAGAAATCCCAAGCGTGCTGCTTTCCAGGCTAAGGTTATTCCATTAAGCTTTCAGGCTAATAAGCTACGTTGAATTGACGGTTTCACAGCGTTTCTAGGAGGCCTAAATACCTTTCTAACATCAAAACATTAGGCTCTCAGCATCATAAAAGCATTGCGATGACCTCGCACCGAGCTAGCCTCCCATCTGCTTGCCAGACGCGAACTGCACCTGACCCGGAGATCAAGGCGAGCTTCTCAGGTCAAATCCTTATCTATACTTTCGATATCATCGTGGGAAGGCACCTGGCTGCTATTCCCTTCGTTAAAATTCCTTTCTGGTGAAAACAGTTGTGTTGACACTGCACTGTCGGTGAGAGCCTCGGAAGCAGGCTCAGAGATTTGAGGCACAGACGAAGAGCCAGGAAGCTGAAACTCATCCTCATCGTCAGAAACTAGCTCAGCCACAACACTGATGGGGGGTGGTCTAAGGGGCCATGACTCGGGTAGCCCTGGCACAGCTGTGGTGGTGCTGGAGACCCGGGACGTCCAGGCGGGCGGTCAGCCTCTGGTCCCCGGCGAGGGTCGGCGTGAAGGGCAAGCGGAGGCGCAGGGAGGACGGGATGGGGCCCGTCCTGCAGGCAGAACAGCAAGGAGATGTGAGAGAGGGGCACAGCCACTCTTCCCCCCCCCACACACACACCCCTCAAAGAGGCATAACTCACCTGTAGCGCCTCTCTTTGTAGATGAGCCCCCGTCCAGACAGAGTGATGCTGCAGCCGGTGAGAGGCTCCGGCAGGTGGTTGTGCAGGTGGATTGTAGCCTCCGCCTGCTGGAACTGCACCAGGCTTTCGGGGATCTTTTGGAAGGAAGCAGAGAAGGATATGTATGAGGAGTGTGTGTGTTAGTGCTCTGGGTACAGAGCAAAGTTTTTCAAGAGAGGTCTTAGCTGCCACTCAGGTAGAAAGCTTTCAGAAGTGTGTGGTGAGCATCCCGTTGTTTCCAATCCTGGGGGAGGAGACCCACCTGAATAGGATTCCCTCCTCCATGAATGGGGATCCCCACATGGTCCTTCCCCCTTCCGGAAGGGTCTCGGCTGCCACTGACCTGGAGGGTGACCTCTGGGGGGCGGAGGAGGACCTCCTGCCAGGCCAAGAGAGGGGCCCGGCTGCTCTGGCTGGCATCCGAGGCGGAGGGGGCCTCCCTCAGGAGGGCCGTGAGCTTCAGCAGGAGGCTGCCCTTTCTCAGAGCTGGGCCGTATTGTGCGAAAGGCAGGGTGGTGCTCAGCACTTCCTCTGGGGGACAGAACCAGGGGAGTCGTTGGAAGCTAAAAGGTATCAACACTTGAATAGAGAGAGCAATTGGGGCAGAGGGAACCCTGCATGGAGAGGCCACTGCCCCAGTCTCCTTCTTCCCCAAGAGTGCCTTTATTTGAGAAGAGAGCACCAAGAGGCCTCTCTCTGCCTCAAGATGTCTGACACACTGAGATCGGCGTTGGCGACTCTTCTGCCAACACTTCCTTTGATCTATCTCCTTGTTTATACTGGTCAGGAGTCAATTTCCAACGGCATGAAGACATCACAAATTCCCCCAATGACATCCTGACTGAATCATCCTGGCTGAATCCATTCTCTCTCTGACATTTTGAAGCGAGCAGTGGACACTGGAAACATCGTATTGGAACTTGTGAAGCAATGAGGTCTAATAAGGAAACTGAGAAGAGGGCAAGATGGGCAGGAAAGGTGTATAAAAGGAAGTGGTGGTGGGAAAAAAACAGTAGTGTCCTTCTTTACTGCAGAGATACAAGCAATATATCCATTTCAAAGCAAAACCGGCTTGTGAGTGGTTATTTAATATTGCTATATAGATCCTGCTGTCTGACAATACTAGATGTAAAGGACTGGGTGGCCCACGAGGTCTCTTCCAAATTTATGGTTCTACTAGCTGTACCTGCCACACGTTGCTGTGGCCAACCTTCCCTCTCTCTTTCTCTCCTTTCTTTCTCTCTTTCCTTCTCTTTTTTTTTTCTTTCCTTCTCTCCTTCTTTCCTTCTCTTCATTTTCCCACACACACACATGATATATAGAGAGACCCTTACCCTGGCCATCTGGTAGGGTGACCACAAACTCCTCCTTCCAGAACTGGGCCAGGGGCTCCCCGTTGCCCTGGAGGGGCTGTGCGCCCAGCACCACCTGCAGCGGCCTCTCCATCCCGGTCCAGTTGGCCACACGCAGGGAGACCCGGGCATCCTCCCCCAGCGCCAAGGAGCTCCCGCACTCAAACCAGGCGGCCAGTGGAGGCTCCTCCATCTCTTCTGGTGGTGGGAAGAGAGCAGGGGGCTCTGTGTCCTGGTTGACCTTCAGCAGGACGGCCCTCTCCTGAAGGGACCCTACAAGAGTGGGCAGGAGAGGTGGATTTTATTGGGAGAGTGGGCTTATTAACAAAAGACCCTCCCCATAAATGCATAGCAGCGTGACCCAGCACCAGAAGCCCAAAATGATAAACAGAAACACCCAGACCAATGTTATCTGTTCCAAAGGGAGGCTTTCCTTTATAGCAAAATAATATGGTTGCACTATTTACAAGAACAAGGCTTTCACGACACAAATCAAGATCAGCCTTCACACAGAATTCACACACAAGTAGCTTTACACACAAGGCCTTCAACCTGGGGCTTCCTCTCACTGAAGCTTCTCACAGACTAAGGCCTACCTCACACTGAGGCCTTCTCACAGACTGAGACCTTTCTCCCACTGAGGCAAACTAACACAGAGGCCTACAAAGCTTATATAGAACTGCAGCTTTTGCTGAGTCATTGCATCCATCCAGGTTCGAATCCAGGGAGAGCACGGATGAGCTCCCTCTGACAGCTCTAGCTCCTCATGCGGGGACATGAGAGAAGCCACCCACAAGGATGATAAAACATCAAAACATCCGGGCATCCTCTGGGCAACGTCCTTGCAGACGACCAATTCTCTCACACCAAAAGCGACTTGCAGTTTCTCAAGTCACTCCTGACATGACAAAAAAAATTGCATCCATTTAACAAAAGCTTACTGGCACAACCTGGGAATCACAACCAGACACAGTGAAGACATCTGCCCTTGCGCTATGCTACTCTGCTGCTGAGTACGCATGCCCAGTGTGGAACACATCTCACCACGCTAAAACAGTGGATGTGGCTCTTAATGAGACATGCCGCATTATCACGGGGTGTCTGCGCCCTACACCACTGGAGAAATTACACTGCTTAGCCGGTATTGCACCACCTGACATCCACCGGGAAGTAGCAGCCAATAGTGAAAGGACCAAGGCAGAGACATCTCCAGCTCATCCCTTGTTCGGGTATCAGCTAGCACGTCAACGACTTAAATCAAGAAATAGCTTTCTAAGATCTATAGAGACACTCGCTGGAACTCCTCAGCAAGCTAGAATCCAAAAGTGGCAGGCTCAAACCTAGAACCTCAATCAGTGGCTGATTCCAAATGAGAGACTCCCCCCTGGGCACAAAGAAAACTGGGCGACTTGGAAGGCGCTGAACAGTCTGCGCTCTGGCACCACAAGATGTAGAGCCTTCAGAAATGGGGCCACAAAGTGGAGTCCACGACATGCGAGTGCGGAGAAGAGCAAACCACTGACTACCGACTACAATGCAACCTGAGCCCTGCCACATGCACAAGGGAGGACCTCCTTGCAGCAACACCAGAAGCACTCCAAGTGGTCAGTTACTGCTCAAATTACATTTAGTACAATGCCAAGTTTGCAAACTTTTTAAAAATACAACTGTTTGGTTCACTCCTGACACAATAAATAAATATTTTTTTGTAATTAAAAATAGCTAGTCAATATTTCTGACAGATTTGGCACGTGAGGAGTGCTCCCGCTCCCCCCTCTTTCCAAGCCTTGGGATCCTTACCTTCAGGGAACTTGTAGTGCTGGGTGATGTCCTCGCAGCGCTCGCTGCCCACCGCCTTGGTGCTGATGCAGTTGCCCAGGAACTTCACTTGGGAGGCGGCCCTCTCGGACACCCCACTGGCCTTGCAGACCCAGGCAGCACAGGTAGAGTTGATGGCCGCAAAGAAGGGGCCCACGCCGGAGGGAAGGTCCAGCCGGCCCTCCTTGATAGCCCTCACTGGAGCAGGGCCACCCCAGCACAACAGCCCTGCAAGGAGAAGCACAGAGATGGTTCAGCCTTGTCCTCATCCATGATCCTCCTCAAAGCAAAGCCTTTCCTTCCCCACAGCGACCCACTTCTCAGCCCACTCTGAAGTGGAGGCTCTGAGTAGGAAGCTGAAGGGCTTTGGGGCTCGTGTTCTGCCTCTTTCTCATCCCAGTTCAAGGGAGGGAAGGACAAAGGATGAGAGGGATCCTCTCACCACTGCAGGAGTCTACCTGTGATGGCGCGAGTGGCACTATCTATATGTAAAACTGTAAGTTGCAGGATTTGAACTGTTGTATCATGCCTGATTTTGCCTTTTTACTATGTAAATGTATAGTTGGATTGATTGGTTATTTATAGCTGTCAATCAATGTTGTTTGCACCAGTTGGATTGCTCCTCCTGCTCAATTGTTTGACCCCACCTCTTCCTAGATAGCAGGACAGTGTTTCCTTTTCCATTCCACCATCAAACTTTCTATCAGATGGACATGAGAGAGAGACTTGGCTCTGAAGCCCTTGATTAAGTTACCTCTCAGCACCAATTCTGAGGTTCTTACCCTTGAGACTTATGCTTCATGTTCAGATCAACCTGGACGACATTGAGAAGTCTCAAGAGCCTTCAGACCAGTTCTTTGGCACTAGAGGAAGGCTTTGTGCCTTCAAAAATAGGCCATTGGAATTGGGGTTGTGATCTGGCCAAACCCTACAAAAATGCCTTTGGAAGCACTTTATGTTACCTGCTATTGCAATTAATCCCAATTTTTGGTCCCGGATCCCCTGTCCAGATACATTACATTGCTCTCTCACCCAGTATTTTTAAACTTTTAATTTTTGCAACTGGCCGTGCTTGCTGTGACCATTTTTTTTGTGTTCAATTATTGCGATTTTATATTTTTTTTGTGCTTATTTATATTGTTTCTTGTATTTTATTTATTTTTTTCTTTATATTTTACTGTTGTATTCCTATGTTGTATATTTCTATCGCTGTATTGTTGGGCTTGGCCTCATGTAAGCCACCCGATTCCCCTTGGGGAGATGGTGGCAGGGTATAAATAAAGTTTTTAAAAAATATTATTATTATTATTATTATTATTATTATTACTATTACTATTATTATTATTATTATCTGGCTACCACTATTTAAAAAACACCCTCTAAAATCAGGACAGTAAATAAAGAACATCACTCGGAAACAGAACTCCAGACAACAAGCAATCGAGAGCCAATAAACACCTCCCAAGCAGAGGGTGCCTCCAGGCAACAGAGGCCAGGCTACTTCTATGCAAATACCCTCACTGATTGACATTGCAATTGCAAGGCTATTCTATGCCAATCAAGTATGCTAATTGTAATATTCACAATTCCTTCAAACAGATAAGGCTTCTTTCTACACATACACTCCACTTGCCTCATTTCCAACAGATGTCTGAGAATGCCAGCCACAGATGCAGGCAAAACGTCAGGAGAGAATGCTACCGGAACATAGCTGTACAGCCCGAAAAATTCACGGCAACCCAGTAATTCTGGCCATGAAAACCTTCGTCAACCCAAAGAAGTGAAATGCTGGCTTAGCAGAAGGTGCTGCCAGGAAGGCTTTGGCTTCCTGGACCATGGCCTGAGATTTGTGAAGGTTGGCTTCCGGGCAAGGGACGTTTTTGCCAGAAATCTTGCAAATCGATTGGGAGGACTTTGCGTTATGCAAGGATAGGAGACCATACTCTTGAGGGCAGGAGGATATCAAATGCTGGACACAATAATTGAATTGTGGTGCCCAGAATTGGACACAATATTCCAGATGTGGTTAGACCACTTTACCTGGAATATTGTGTCCAATTCTGGGCACCACAATTCAAGAGAGATATTGACAAGCTGGAATGTGTCCAGAGGAGGGCGACTCAAATGATCGAGGGTCTGGAGAACAAGCCCTATGAGGAGCGGCTTAAGGAGCTGGGCATGTTTAGCCTGAAGAAGAGAAGGCTGAAGGGAGATATGATGAGAGCCATGTATAAATATGTGAGAGGAAGCCACAGGGAGGAGGAGGGAGCAAGCTTCCTTTCTGCTTCCCTGGAGACTAGGACGCAATGGAGGAATGGCTTCAAACTACAAGAGAGGAGATTCCATCTGAACATGAGGAAGAACTTCCTGACTGTGAGAGCCGTTCAGCAGTGGAACTCTCTGCCCCGGAGTGTGGTGGAGGCTCCTTCTTTGGAAGCTTTTAAACAGAGGCTGGATGGCCATCTGTCAGGGGTGATTTGAATGCATTCCTGCTTCTTGGCAGAATGGGGTTGGACTGGATGATGGCCCAGGAAGTCTCTTCCAACTCTGGATTCTAGGATTCTATGATTCTATGATAATGGACCAACAGATTCGAACTACAGGGCAAGGGTCACTTAATATTAGGGAAGACTTCCTGACACCACTGCTGCCTGGGAATGTGGTTGGGTCGCCTTCTTTGACAGTGTTGAAGCCAGAGGATGGGTGGCTATCAATCGAGAGGGTGTGGATTGTGGATTTCCCACATGGATGAATTGGGTTGGGCTGGATGGCCTTTAGAGGCCCCTTCCAACTCCAGGACTGACTCATGAATGCCGCTCATGGCGCCTACCGTTCTGCTGCCCCTTCTTTGGTGTGGCGTCCAGGGCCTGCCACCCGCTGTATTCCTGGCCCAGATCCTCGCGTGCCATCCAGCACTCGTTCCAGGCATGGCGGGGCCTGAGGGAGAAAGGAAATGGGGTTCAAGGGGAAGCCTAAAGCAAGCGTCCTCAAATTGTGGCCCCCCCCAACTCCCAGGATTCTTGACCATTGAACAATCTGGCAATGTATTGTCGAAGGCTTTAATGGCCGGAATCACTGGATTGTTGTAGGTTTTTTCGGATTATATGGCCATGTTCTAGAGGCATTCTCTCCTGACGTTTCGCCTGCATCTATGGCAAGCATCCTCAGAGGTGGTGAGGTCTGTTGGAACTAGGAAAATGGGTTTATATATCTGTGGAATAATCAGGGTGGGACAAAGGACTCTTGTCTGTTGGAGCTAGGTGTGAATGTTTCAACTGACCACCTTGATTAGCATTGCCTGGAGCAATTTTTCGTTGAGAGGTGATTAGATGTCCTTTTTTGTTTCCTCTCTGTTGTTGTACTGTTCTAATTTTAGAGTTTTTTTTTTAATATTGGTAGCCAGATTGTGTTCCTTTTCATGGTTTCCTCCTTTCTGTTGAAATTGTCCACCTGCTTCTTGTGGATTTCAGTGGCTTCTCTGTGTTGCCTGACATGGTGGTTGTGAGAGTGGTCCAGCATTTCTGTGTTCTCAAATAATATGCTCAACAAAAGATTGCCCCAGGCACTGCCAGGCTATCAAATGCTAATGAAGGTGGTCAGTTGAAACATTCCCACCTAGCTCCATCAGACAAGAGTCCTTTGTCCCACCCTGGTCATTCCACAGATATATAAACCCAATTTTCCTAGTTCCAACAGACTTCACTTCCTCTGAGGATGCTTGCCATAGATGCAGGCAAAACGTCAGGAGAGAATGCCTCTAGAACATGGTCATATAGCCCGAAAAAACCTACAACAACCCAATCTGGCAATAGGAGCTTCTGGGAGTTGGAGGCCCAAACACCTGGAGGGCAGTCGTGGCCTAAAGCTTCCCTCCCTCCCTCCTTCCCCACAGCAACCCACACAGGTGCCACATGAAAGGTGTTTGCCTTCTTCTCACCAGACGCAGGTGTCCGAGTTGCTGGAGATCAGGGCCCCGCTTTCGTCAAAGGACTCGTCCACTCGCAGGCTGCCCTCTGTGCCCTGGGCCCAGGCGAAGGCACTGACCACGCGGGTGGGGATGCCCAGGCTCCTTAGCACTGCAAGCAAAGGGGAGACCACCAGAATAATCTATTTATTTATCATGTCAGAGAAGCAGAAGGCGAATGCTTGCTCCATCAATGTTCAACATTTACAGAAATGACCAACCACTGCCAGAAGGGACAGAGAGTTCAATCTATGCTGATGATCGTGCCATCACCACTCAAGCAGGGAGCTTTGAAATTGTTGAATGGAAGCTCTCCGAAGCTTTAGGTATTCTTACTGTCTATGACAGGGGAAACCAGCTGATTCCTAATCCATCTGAGTTTAATCTATACTGATGATCGTGCCATCACCACTCAAGCAGGGAGCTTTGAAATTGTTGAATGGAAGCTCTCCGAAGCTTTAGGTATTCTTACTGTCTATGACAGGGGAAACCAGCTGATTCCTAATCCATCTGAGTTTAATCTATACTGATGATCGTGCCATCACCACTCAAGCAGGGAGCTTTGAAATTGTTGAATGGAAGCTCTCCGAAGCTTTAGGTATTCTTACTGTCTATGACAGGGGAAACCAGCTGATTCCTAATCCATCTGAGTTTAATCTATACTGATGATCGTGCCATCACCACTCAAGCAGGGAGCTTTGAAATTGTTGAATGGAAGCTCTCCGAAGCTTTAGGTATTCTTACTGTCTATGACAGGGGAAACCAGCTGATTCCTAATCCATCTGAGTTTAATCTATACTGATGATCGTGCCATCACCACTCAAGCAGGGAGCTTTGAAATTGTTGAATGGAAGCTCTCCGAAGCTTTAGGTATTCTTACTGTCTATGACAGGGGAAACCAGCTGATTCCTAATCCATCTGAGTTTAATCTATACTGATGATCGTGCCATCACCACTCAAGCAGGGAGCTTTGAAATTGTTGAATGGAAGCTCTCCGAAGCTTTAGGTATTCTTACTGTCTATGACAGGGGAAACCAGCTGATTCCTAATCCATCTGAGTTTAATCTATACTGATGATCGTGCCATCACCACTCAAGCAGGGAGCTTTGAAATTGTTGAATGGAAGCTCTCCGAAGCTTTAGGTATTCTTACTGTCTATGACAGGGGAAACCAGCTGATTCCTAATCCATCTGAGTTTAATCTATGCTGATGATCATGCCATCACCACTCAAGCAGGGAGCTTTGAAATTGTTGAATGGAAGCTCTCCGAAGCTTTAGGTATTCTTACTGTCTATGACAGGGGAAACCAGCTGATTCCTAATCCATCTGAGTTTAATCTATACTGATGATCGTGCCATCACCACTCAAGCAGGGAGCTTTGAAATGGTTGAACAGAAGCTCTCCGAAGCTTTAGGTGCTCTTACTGCCTATGACAGGGAAAACCAGCTGATTCCTAATATAATAATAATAATAATAATAATAATAATAATAATAATAATAATAATAATAAATCACACAGTCCTAGAGTCTTGGAAAATGTTTGACTTGTGATTTTGTGATACGAAATCCGGCATAGAGATCTCGTTTGCTGTGACATACTGTGTTTTTGTGTCAGAATAATAATAATAATAATAATAATAATAATAATAATAATAATAATGTATTTCTTACTCATATCTTCTCGAGGTGGGTCACGGTACAGTCAAAACACACAAACGGTGCAAACATTATATAAACACAGATACTAATGTAGTTCTACAAAATATACATTTTAAAATATATTTCTATAAAATACATATTAAATACACAGGACACGAGTTTAAAAGGCTGGGTGAGGACAGCATGAGGCTGGGGGACAGAGACCACCCCCCCCTCATGCCTTTGACCAGGAATCCTCCTTTGTTTCCACCCCAAATAGTTACCAGGCAAGGCTTGCTCAGTACATCCTCCACGAAGGACTACAAAGCCCATGAGTCACTGCGTTTGAGAGGTATGTGTGTGTGTGTTTCTCAGCTGGTTTTCCTGGTGTGGTGTCCATGGGCCAAGGTCCCTATGCAGCCAAGGAGGGTGCTACTTGGGGTTCAGAAGGGGTGTTGTTGTTGTTGTTAGTATTATTATTTAAATTATTATTATTATTATTATTATTATTATTATTATTATTATTATATACACTTAATGGATATTTCACTCTTTCTCCCCGAGGGGACTCAGAGCTACAGTATACACATATATAGGCAAACATTCAATGCCTTTAATACAGTAACAACAATGACATACAATACACAAACCAAGGCAAAGCTTTCCCTTTCCATCTTCAACGTCTGGAAGAGATGCTCAACTCTGGCCCTGGGGAGTTTTCCCTACCTGAGCAGACGACAGCCGCAAACGTCCAGCTCTGGCCATAGCGAACCGGCCGACACCGTCCAGAGAGCCACTGGCGCAGGATGGGTCCACTGCCCGGCCACTTGGAGGGGGGCGTCCCGTCTCCGTACTCCCCTGACCAGCATCCCTCCAGGACTGGATAGGGCTTCTCCCCATTCAGCTGTGAGGAGAGGAGGAAGAGAGGCCTTGAGTGGGAATCATAGAATCATGGAATCAAAGAGTTGGAAGAGACCTCACGGGCCATCCAGTCCAACCCCATTCTGCAAGAAGCAGGAATATTGCATTCAAAGCACCCCTGACAGATGGCCATCCAGCCTCGGTTTAAAAGCTTCCAAAGAAGGAGCCTCCACCACACTCCGGGGCAGAGAGTTCCACTGCTGAACGGCTCTCACAGTCAGGAAGTTCTTCCTCATGTTCAGATGGAATCTCCTCTCTTGAAGTTTGAAGCCATTGTTCCATTGCGTCCTAGTCTCCAAGGAAGCAGAAAGGAAGCTTGCTCCCTCCTCCCTGTGGCTTCCTCTCACATATTTATACATGGCTATCATGTCTCCTCTCATCCTTCTCTTCTTCAGCTCCTTAAGCCACTCCTCATAGGGCTTGTTCTCCAGACCCTTGATCATTTTAGTCGCCCTCCTCTGGACACATTCCAGCTTAGAGTCAATATCTCTCTTGAATTGTGGTCCCGGAATTGGACACAATATTCCAGGTAATGTGGTCTAACCAAGGCGGAATAGAGCATGGGGAGCAGGACTTCCCTGGATCTAGACACTATGCTCCTATTGATGCAGGCCAAAATCCCGTTGGCCTTTTTTGCCGCCACATCACATTCCTGGCTCATGTTCATCTTCCTGTCCACGAGGACTCCAAGATCTTTTTCACACATACTACCCTTGAGCCAGGCCTCATCGTCCCCCATTCTGTCTCTTTGCATTTCTTTTTTCTGCCATATCTTGCATTTGTCCCTGTTGGACTTCAGGTGGGCCCCTGAAAAGAGGGTAAAAGGGGAGACCCCCTGCCCACCCCCACGTCCCCCTTACCATGGCGCTGACCAGGCGGCAGACCTGGAGGGGGCTCCTCAGCTGGTCGCAGGCATCTAGGGCTGGCATCCCGAGCAAACTGATGTCCAGCAGGGCCAGGCTCATGTCCAGGAAGCCTTCTGAAAACTGAAAGGTGAGTCAGATAATGTTCTTCAAGGCAGAGAATCCTAGGGGGTTCCAGGGACTTGAAGAGGCAAGGATTTCTGCAGGAGTGGCTGGAGACCAGGTGTGTGGGACCCTCTTTCCTCCACCCTGGCAGGCCAATTCCCACCCAGCGCTAGGTGCAACCCCCCCTGGCTCCTCCCTTTGCCCTCACCTGCCCAAAGTCCCAGGGGATGCGCTGGGGGGCCTCCTCCAGCCCCCAGAAGAGGGTCCCCTCCTCGTTGAGGACATACTCCTGCCGCTGAGCCTCATTGCCCAGAAAGACACTGTCGCCTGGAAGAGGGAAGGGGTCATTCGATGTTTATGCTGAAATGGGAAAGGTCTCAGGCTGTGAGGCCAGAGGCAAAATAATAATAATAATAATAATAATAATAATAATAA